CCTTCCATTCCCAAATGATCTCTGCTAGCCTGCCCCTTCAATTCCCAAATGATCTCTGCTAGCCTGCCCCTTCCATTCCCAAATGATCTCTGCTAGCCTGCCCCTTCCATTCCCAAATGATCTCTGCTAGCCTGCCCCTTCCATTCCCAAATGATCTCTGCTAGCCTGCCCCTTCCATTCCCAAATGATCTCTGCTAGCCTGCCCTTTCCATTCCCAAATGATCTCTGCTAGCCTGCCCCTTCCATTCCCAAATGATCTCTGCTAGCCTGCCCCTTCCATTCCCAAATGATCTCTGCTAGCCTGCCCTTTCCATTCCCAAATGATCTCTGCTAGCCTGCGCTGACCTCCCTCGCTATCTCTCTCCCTCTCTCTCCCTTTCTCTCTCACCCTATCCCTTTGATCTGCCCGCCATCCTTACAATTCGCAACCTCGGACCCCGGGAATTCCCCACGATATGCAAATTCCGCTTCGTCTCGGGTAGTAGCTGCATTGTCCCGAAAAATGTGTTCCTCAATGTAGGTTCCCAGGAGGCTCTACCCGTACCCCAATTTTTACGACCGTTACCCCCGGGGCATTTTAGTTGAGGGCGCGCATCTGCCGTTCCCCCCTAACTAGGGTCTGGCTTGAATATATTCCAAGACAATCCAGATGACACCACAATGACAGGCCAACCCTCGAGCCGTAAATGTCCTGTAAACTTTGCGGGCAAGGGCCAGATGCACGCCCTCCACAAACTCTCCTGGCCTGTCCGAATTTGCATACACGGGACTCTGGGTAAACACCGGGCGGCGATTCTTGTGGGCGAATTGTTATGATGGGCAGGCACCTTGGCTTTACCGCCTGGCGACGCTTTAGCTGATTTGTAGCTTTTTGTGCCAATTTTTTGCTTTCTAAAGGGACTAGGAAGCGCGAGAATCGGCCCCTTCGATTGACTAGGTCTAGACAGCTACCCGACACGCCGTAACACACGTAAAACCCGTTTTTTTTTGGCTTTTTCTGCTGCTCGCTTTTAGATTTCAAATTGCTGTCGTCTTTCGAGCTCTTGTTTGGCTAAATGTCACGTCATTTGGCGTATCGTGGAACTGTCTAGACCTAGTGGACAGGTCGGTAGGATCTGGCCGTCGTTAACCCCTTTAAAATTAAAGTTTTTTGATTTTTTTGTGAAGAAAATGACATTCAACTTGTTTGTTTTTCTGAACAGGCTAGCGGAATCCATTAGGGAATTTAGTTAAATTCGTAAGGCCCTTCTTGTGCGGCAAAAATAAGCAAGTTTCTCTCTCTCCCATCTCACTCTCTCTCGCTCTCTCACTTTCCCATCTCACTCTCTCTCTCACTCTCTCTCGCTCTCTTTTTCTGGCTTAAATTCTTCACTAAAACCCAGTCAACCCCAAAATTTCCGCTCGAAAAGTCACAGCTTCTCAAAATCCAGGTGGACCCTATTCAAGCCCAACCTACTGTCCATAGCTCCCAAAAAGGAGTAGCAGCTGCTCCCCGCAGAGAGTTCAAGTATGCGCCAGGGGCCACCAGGCTCCAAATTCCGACATGGGCCCCTAGCCAAGGACCCACCAGGGGCCCACACCACTTTTACAATTCATTGGGGGGCCCCTGTTGGTGGGCCCGAAGCCAATTTCGGGGGCCCCCGGCTCTGGTGCGGGGCTCGTCTAAATTAGTCTCTCAACGTTTGGCCCTCCCCTTCTGGGGGGTTGAAGCTCATCTAGACCACCCTCGAGAACGGGCTAGCCCACGCGACGAAGCTCATCATTTTCGCGGTGTTTCAAGGGGCGGGGAGGTGGAGGAATTTACTCTGAATTCCATGGGCTGTGCCCCAATTCCATAAGAATTTCTGCTGGCTAGCCATTTCGGCCATATCCCGTCTTTTGGTAGTGTTATCGAGATTTCTCAAAATCACTGCGGTTTTGCCCCCTCGCAATGCGCAATTTTTCATCATCAAGTCGGATCGGTCATATATTCCTCAAGAATCGATGCTAGCTCGCCCTTTTGGCATTATTCAATCTTTAAGAGCAGAAACAGTAACAAAGTAGCAGTTTTACGTGCACAGGATTCCCTAAGGATCTCTGCAAGTTTGCCACTAATCTAAGGGGCAGTCAATTGCGTTTTCAGTTTCTCAAAGAATCTCTGCTAGTTGCCCGACTTGTTTTCTTATAGACCTCTTAAAAATTTCTTGATGTCGATTTTTTCTGCAAAGGATTTGACCGGTTTTCTAAGAAATTCGCTTATGTTAAATTTCGACATTTCAACATTTTGAATTTGGACCTTATCAAGTTCGACGTTTTCAAAACTAGCTCTATTATGATAGCCTGTAACTTCCGGTATCTTACCATTTCTCCGATACTCTCTGCCAGTTTGCCCGAACCATTTCAGAAGCTTTCAAACCGTTTCTCGGGCAGGAAAAGCCGTTTTCTCAGCCCATTTCGAGCGAGATTATGCAAAGCGGTGGGCAAAGGCAGCGCCACGCGCGCCCCATTTTGCGCCCCGCCCAGAAATAATGTGATCGTCTAAAGGCTCGGGGGTGGCGGTACGGGGGCTTGATCCCTAATGAATGGGGCAGGGAAGAAGCCGAAAGCCGATGGGAAGGGGATGGGCTAACGATATGGGCTCGTTGCCCAACGCCAGCGACTTTGATCAGATTAGCTCCATTGCTACTGGCCAGGGGAGGGCCAAGACAAAAGCGCGCGCTAATTGCCCTGGGGGGCACATATGGTCGGCCAAGGAGGGGGTCCATTGGCGATGCAACCATGAGCCTCCTTAGGGCCCAAGTGGCCCACCGGCTTTTCCTGGGGTTGTCCATTATCCTTGGCTATTAGTGCGCGGCAGGAAGCTCAGTCTTGTCTGGTTTTCGTGTTCTCACTATGCTTTTCCACCTTTTCTCAAAAATCCCTGCTAGCTTGCCCTCTGGAGAGCTTGGACTAGGTTCCTCAAAGAACTCTGCTGGCCTGCCATCTGAATTTTTGACTTGGACATCTGTATTCCTTAAGAATCTCTGCTAGCTTGCCTATCAGATGTTGCGAGCCTCAATGTGAACTGCAACTCGCATCCCTAAGAATCTCTGCTAGCTTGCCTGGCGGTTTTTTTACTGGTTTGCACTTTACTGAATTTCTACCCCGAGGTTTCGCGCTCAAAGTTTTCTCGAAAATACTCACTAGGTTAAGCTCCATTTCCTCCGTTTTCCAGGTTGCTCCAAAATCCGACCGGTGCAATTTCACCCTTTTCCTCCGAGTCATGGAAATCCCCTCTAGAAAGTCACCCTGACCCATGGCGATCGGCTTGCCAGGAAAGAGATTTCACCCCTTGATTCCGGGCGTATATGGGCGTCGCGCGGAGCCCCCCTCTCCGCCGTCCGTTCCACTACTCTTTACGACTTTGATTACCCGGAGGGAGGAGGATGGGGAGGGCTAGGGGATGCTCGAGGAGGAGGAGGAGGAGGACTGTTGTATATGACCAGAGCTTCAGAAAGGTTGCTATGACTCGGAGTATCTCTCCCTCTCTCTCGCTCTCTCTCTCTCTCTCTCTCTCTTTCGCTTTCCGTCTCTCTCTAAGCTCTAGTCTCCCTAAGCCTAAGCCGAAGCCGAAGCCAAGCCTAAGCCGGAGCCTAATCTGAACCTAAGCCAAGTCAAGCAAGAAAAGAAATAGAAATACTTTGAAGAATGTGCCTGGGACTACCAGTAATGCGCAATTGCCTCGCATGGCTAGCTAGCAGAGATCCCTTAGGAATCGAATCCTACTGTGGTATATGGCAGGACCTAGAGCGAGAGCTGGAATGAGCGATGACTCTTGCTCCAAGGCCCGGACGAACATAAACCCACTCCCCCCGAAAGCCACGGGGCAATTATCCCGTCAGACGAGTACGCCGGGCTACTGACTACGGGACCCAGATTATGATGACGATCCGGGGCGCACAACATAAAATCAAGCAAGACGGCGCATTATCTAGGGTTTTGGGGAGGGCATCAGGTGGCTGGGCGGGTCGTAAAAGAGATGAAGACTTGGGAGGTTCCTTACTACTACCAACTTTCCCAAATGATCTCTGCTAGCCTGCCTCTTCCATTCCCAAATGTTCTCTGCTAGCCTGCTTCTTCCATTCCCAAATGTTCTCTGCTAGTCTGCCGCAAAAGTGCTTTTTTAGGCAAGTTGGCAGTAATTCTTGTGGTACTGAGCCTTTATTAATTCTTTACAGACTCCTTTAGGATATTCAAACCCCAATTCCCGGCCCTTACCATTCCCCCGAACTTCATCAATCATCCACACTCATTAACATCGAGTCGCTGGGGGTAATTTGTGGCTGGAGAGAGAGAGAGATCGCCTGAAACTCCGAGACGTTCCGCGAGCCCCTAAAAAGGGGCGGAGCCTCGGGGCCGGGCCCGCGGCCCCGCCCCTTCCTCCCCCCAGCCGACTGCGGGGTCCCCTAATTTGCCTGCTCCTTCCTTTCGAGTCTCGAAAAGACGGACAGACAAATATGCACACACACAAACAGAGGCCCACAGTTTCCTGTTTTGACACCCTGGCTTCCCGAGCTTTTTGGGGTGGTGGCTCTGACGGAAATGGCTAATGAATGTTGGCCCTCATAAGAGCTTGGGGTCGAGTGCTTGGTTTAATGACCCAAGCCTGGGCCTAAGGAAGCTATTTTTGGATATTTAAATTTATGTTTACTTACCTCTCTCTCCCTTTCTCGCTCTTTCTCTCTCTCTCTCTCTCACTCTCTTTCACTCTCTCGCAGTCTCACTCGCACTCTCTTCTGTCCCGTTTCTCATTGTATTTTTCTAGGTTTCAGCCTTTGTATTTCTTTTTTTCCTCGTCCTCTCTCTCGCTCTCTCTCTCTCTAACTCTGTCTCGTTTTATGTTCTCTCTCTCGCTCTCCAAACCGCAACCTGCAATTTTACGCTCGGTTTTTTCAGATAAACTCCAGACTCCGCCACCCCATTTTGCTGTCGGGGTCCCCAGCGAAGAATGTGCTGAGCGCATCTATCTACTAAAAACTAAAATGCAGCCCAAGCCGCCGTTCCTCCAGTTGTCGATGCGACGGCTGCGGATATTCTGTTTATTGCTATTGCTGCGGGTGGCTGAATGTAAAAGAGGTGGGTTTTTAATCGAATTCATCAGCGAGAAAATTGAAAAATGCTTTTTTACCGGTTCAGCTGCTCTCTAAGGGCCTTAGGGTTTAATGTAAAGAATTTTAAATCGGGTTCAGCGCTCATAAAATCTTGGAAAAATTCGAATATGCCAAAAAAGTGCGAAAAGATCGAGTCTTCAAGGCTTTTCGTCCTTCCCGGTTTTTGGTGATTCTTGGCCTCATTTAGAACCATGCCAACTTCTAGCAAAAATCTCCTGTCACAGTCCCTTGAAACCCTCGGAAAACCCGTGAAAAGTTACACCTCCTCGCGCGCGAGCCGCCGAGGAGATCAGGTGTGAGCGATCGAGTACGTTTCACTCCTCCCCGTCCCGGCCACCTTTCAGTTGATAGCCCAAGGCTTAAGGTGGTGCTCCTCGATCTCTATCTGCCGCTCTCTCTCTCTCTCTCTCTCTCTCTCTCTCTCTCTCTCTCACCTGTGCACCTGACGGCTCTAATGCCCCTAGGTGCCCGGCCAGCTCTCGAAATTTGATCCCTAATGGGCCGGGCGTGAGGTGTGAAATCCGGCCCCTCGGCGGGTGGAAAGTTTTTGTAACGCCTTGCAGCGTAGTTTAAAGGTATTGAGAAGGTTCCTTTACGATCCAAAAGCCTAGAAAAGAGTCTTAAAAATGGCACTAACTTTTTAGCCATTTTCAAGCGATTTTAGCGTTTTAAAACCCTTTTCAGCTCTTTTGCAAAATTTAAAGGAAACGGGAAATCAAGAACCAAATTTAAGACACTTAAAAAGACGCGGAAAATGCATCCAATGGCTTTAAAAAAATTTGAAAAAGCGATTTTTGAAAATTTATGTGTATTGGCATGGGGCTGTGAGCTCTTTTTCGATCTCTCGGCCCCTTTAAAAAGTCGTAGTACGTTTTTTACTCTTTCTAGAGGTAGTTTTCCATTCTGCTTTTCCGGCTGACCACCTGAAAATTTAAGCAGGCTGACTGACCACCAGTAGAAAGAAGTAAAGTTAACCCGCTCATATTTTTCGGGTGTCACCCTCGCCCCGCTCACCGGGTTGGGCATGCATTTTTAAGGGGCAAGCGAGGCGCGAGTTAGGTGAAAAGTTTTCGAAGGGCTGTACGAATCGAGTGGGGCAGGCTAGCAGCGATCATTTAGGAATTGGGGCAGGCTAGCAGAAATCCTTTGAGAATGGCAATATCATTGTAAAAGGCGCAAAATTCAAGTTTTTCGGTATTTATCAAAAACTTTCTGAGATTTTTTTAAAATCCTTACATCTTCAAAATTCCCCTCTATTGTTACGATTCCCGATTTTACCCTTGAGACGCCCCTTGCCGACCGCGTGAACCCGTAATGCACCAAAATTTGCATGTGAAAAGCGGAACGATCCGTGTACCCCAAGGAACGGTTCGGAATTGTTGCCCGGGCGGGAATTCTATGGTTTTACAGCCCCTTGTAATGTGTACAGTGTCGGAATTTGGGTTTGCGTTCCTAAGGAAGCTCTGCTGGCCTTCCTCAAGAATCTCTGCTAGCCTTCCTAGAACAAAAACGGCTTGGCATTTCCTCAATGCCCTCTGCTACCTTGCCTTTAAGTAGAAAAACCTGAAGTTCTCAAATGATCTCTGCCAGATTGCCTTTTTCAGAAAATCATTACTTTCGTGGGAAATCTCTGCTAGCCTGCCACTTATTTTCTAAAATCCATGAAACCAAACTAGAGATATTCTACCTTGAAAAAGACTCATAAATCTATTAGTCTCCTCAAAATTTCGGCGCAGGTGAGAACCCCCATAAATTGCCTACTATTTTCACATGTGGCCCCGCGAAATTTGGGGCAAATTATGGTGTTTTTCTGGAGGCCGAGAGGCCCTCAAATGACCCCAGCATTGGGCACTCGCTGGCCGCTCGCCCGCCTTCCAAAAGCACTGGCCCGTGTTTATCTATGGCCTTCATTAGACAGCCCGAATCTTGAGCAAGAGAGAGAGTGAGAGAGAGAGAGGGAGCGAGAGAGAGAGAGATCGGCGAACTAACAAACCCTCGATTGGCCTGGGTCCCGAAAAGGATTGGCGCGCCAAGCTAGGGGGAGTGTAGTGGAACGGAGAGAGATGGGAGGGCATAGTAAAGTTGCGGAATCGAATTTTTAGGAGATCTACCTTAAAAATCATAGAAACATAATTCCCAAAAATTTCTGCTAGCTTGCCCCTTCCATTCCCAAATGATCTCTGCTAGCCTGCCCCTTCCATTCCCAAATGATCTCTGCTAGCCTGCCCCTTCCATTCCCAAATGATCTCTGCTAGCCTGCCCCTTCCATTCCCAAATGATCTCTGCTAGCCTGCCCCTTCCATTCCCAAATGATCTCTGCCAGCCTGCCCCTTCCATTCCCAAATGATCTCTGCTAGCCTGCCCCTTCCATTCCCAAATGATCTCTGCTAGCCTGCCCCTTCCATTCCCAAATGATCTCTGCTAGCCTGCCCCTTCCATTCCCAAATGATCTCTGCTAGCCTGCCCCTTCCATTCCCAAATGATCTCTGCTAGCCTGCCCCTTCCATTCCCAAATGATCTCTGCTAGCCTGCCCCTTCCATTCCCAAATGATCTCTGCTAGCCTGCCCCTTCCATTCCCAAATGATCTCTGCTAGCCTGCCCCTTCCATTCCCAAATGATCTCTGCTAGCCTGCCCCTTCCATTCCCAAATGATCTCTGCCAGCCTGCCCCTTCCATTCCCAAATGATCTCTGCTAGCCTGCCCCAATTCCTAAAAATTCTCCGCTAGCTCACCCTCATCTTTTCGCGCTCCAGCAATTTTTCCCAAGTATCCTCCGCACCAAATTTGCATAAATGCCTGCAGGCATTGTCCAACTCGCAGCTGGTCGTCCCCTTAAGGGGAATTGACATGAGCACGCCTAGGTGGGTGGCCAGGTGCTACCTGTCGCGCCGATTTGCCCTCTTTCTCTCGCCCTCTCTATCTCTCCACTCTCTACCCTCCGGTTCTGATTGTCAAACAAAAAGCGTCAGACAGTTGCGCCCTTGTCGCCTATTCGTTGGAGTGACTCGAGATGATGACCTCTCGTCAAATTGTTGTGTAACCGGGCAAATGTATGCTAATGAGGCCAGAGTGAGAGAGACAGAGAGAGAGAAAGAACGAGAAAGATAAATTAAACGCTAAAATCATCCATATTTTTTCAGTCGAAATCCTCTCCACGTCCGGCGAGAAAAACGAGCTGAAATGGGAGGTGCGCACGTTCTACGACACGGAAACGGTGAGTATTTCATAGCGTCATCGATTGCGTTCGAAAATTCTTGTTTAATCGTCGTAATTTATAAAATACATTCGGTAATTTCATCGCGTAATCGATTAGTTTTCACGAAAACGGATAGAATTTGCATAAAATTAGGTTTTCGAGCTGTTTCAAACCCTAAAAATTCCGATTTTTTTGGTTGCTCCTTTATCGGTGTCCATTCCACAAATCTCTCTGCTCGTTTGCCTCCCGAAAATGCAAATTTTGGCTCCAACAATCGGCGAGATTTTTGAGGGTGATCCCCATAAATCTCGTTCTAATTCTCGAGGAGGTCGACGACCTGTCTGACGATATTCTCTCTCTCTCTCTCTCTCTCTCTCTCTCTCTCTCTCTACCTCTCTCTCTCTCTTTCTTTCTTTCTTTCTCTCTCTCTCGCCCGCATTCGAGATTAGTGCTTTGTTTTCGGCGATCCCCCAGCGGAGATAGGGGGCTACGGGTGGCTCCTAAAGACGAGGATCTGGTTAAAGGGATTGGTAACATTCCGCGGCGCTCCACATCCTGACAGCCGCAACATATGGGGGTTGAGGGGATCGGGAAGGGGTGATTAATTGATTACCACTGCGAGATCCGTAGCGCAGAGGGATATATCCGAGCGTGTGCCGATTTATGGGATTTGCGGGAGATTGAGATTTATTGCCCCGGGAAGCGAAGGGGAGTGCATTATGCGGGAAATTTGGAGGGGTGTATGCTAATTTTCGAGGCGGGCTAGCAGAGATCATTTGGAAATGGAAGGGGCAGGCTAGCAGAGATCATTTGGAAATGGAAGGGGCAGGCTAGCAGAGATCATTTGGGAATGGAAGGGGCAGGCTAGCAGAGATCATTTGGAAATGGAAGGGGCAGGCTAGCAGAGATGATTTGGGAATGGAAGGGGCAGGCTAGCAGAGATCATTTGGGCATGGAAGGGGCAGGCTAGCAGAGATCATTTGGAAATGGAAGGGGCAGGCTAGCAGAGATCATTTGGGAATGGAAGGGGCAGGCTAGCAGAGATCATTTGGAAATGGAAGGGGCAGGCTAGCAGAGATCATTGGGGAATGGAAGGGGCAGGCTAGCAGAGATCATTTGGGAATGGAAGGGGCAGGCTAGCAGAGATCATTTGGGAATGGAAGGGGCAGGCTAGCAGAGATCATTTGGGCATGGAAGGGCAGGCTAGCAGAGATCATTTGGAAATGGAAGGGGCAGGCTAGCAGAGATCATTTGGGAATGGAAGGGGCAGGCTAGCAGAGATCATTTGGGCATGGAAGGGGCAGGCTAGCAGAGATGATTTGGGAATGGAAGGGGCAGGCTAGCAGAGATCATTTGGGCATGGAAGGGACAGGCTAGCAGAGATCATTTGGGAATGGAAGGGGCAGGCTAGCAGAGATCATTTGGGAATGGAAGGGGCAGGCTAGCAGAGATCATTTGGAAATGGAAGGGGCAGGCTAGCAGAGATCATTTGGGCATGGAAGGGACAGGCTAGCAGAGATCATTTGGGAATGGAAGGGGCAGGCTAGCAGAGATCATTTGGGAATGGAAGGGGCAGGCTAGCAGAGATCATTGAGGATCTTTGACGTTTTCTCAGCGCCTTTAAATTCCCGTTTCCATCTGCTATAGCATGTCCCGAGGCGTCGCAAATGTCCATCGGGTTGCCGAGTAGCCGCGGGGATTCATATGGACATTTTGCCCTTTTTTGACAGGGTCTTCTTCTCAGTGGGCCCTTGGGCCCTCTGCGCCCGGGCACCCACCCGGCCACCAATCCCCCTATAAGAGCTGTCGCAAACACATACGATTTCCCGCCTTGATTTTCGAGGGAATGGGAAAATTTAAATCCCGCGGGGTAGCCGATAAAAATGAACTTTAAAAAATCAGAACAAATCATAAGTAAAAAATCCATAGCCGCTTCCCTTCCCGGTGCCTTTAAACCTCGATTTCCAACTTTCTCATGCCAATCACCCCAAGGCCAATAATCCTGTCATTTCGTATGCCATTTCCGGCGCGGCGCGGCTTCCTTTTTCAAGCCGTTATGATGGCTCGAAAAGAAATGGCAAAGACCTTCCCATGGGGGGATGGGCGATTCGTCTTCATCGGCTCATAAACACACGTTACGCCAGCCACAACCAGAGAAATGTCATGTTAGTGGCTAATGCCTCGAGGGCACGTCCCCGCGCCGACCCGTCGGCCCGATACCTTTAAAGGCGCCGCCCTGGGGCTGGAAAGGGCATGGGAAAATGAAGAAAATTTAATTAAATACGAGAAAATGGCATAAGAACTCCTTTAGCAAGAGATACTGTAATTTTGAAGGCGTTTAGAGGTCTAAATCCAAATTCGTAGATTTTTCTAGTCCGAGATTCAGGTTTTTATGTGTTTTTTAGGGCGACTAATCGCGTATTATAGTTATTCACAAAATTTCTGTAGTTTTAAAAGAACCGCAAAGAAAAATCACAAGCAAAAAATTTTTTATAGGAGCCAGTTCTGCTTTTTGTAGTTTTTAAGGTAATTTTTCGCGACTTACTGTTACTTTTCCCTTCTTTTCTTCCTATTTTTTTTGAGATTTTTAGTACCGTATTATAAAATGCACTTTTGAACGGAATCCTGGAATTTTCCCGCCTTGCGCCATTCCTTTAAAGATCTCAGAACCCAATTAATCCCCACGCGCCTACGTACCACTCCTTAGAACACCAATTTCTCCACCCTTTCGAGCCTACGGGTGATGACTAATGGCTTTTGGTGGGGGGTGTCGTCCGCCAGCCGAAACCCACCCTTATAAATCAACCCAAGAAACGTGAAAAGGAAGCGCTAAAGGGGTCGGCAAGGCTGCGAGATTGATGGGCTATAGATTATGGGGCGCGCGTGGCGGGACCAATTTTGGGGTGTTGGCATGTAAAATGGTGCGGGGAGTACTTGTAAAGGGTGACGGAAGGCTGAAACCATGCTGATTTCAATCATAAAAATTCTAAACGTTGTTTTATGATAAATTTAAAACCAAAAAAGTCATGACAAAAATTAAACAGCGCTTAAAAATACAAACTTTATGTCAAAAAATCGAATCATTTTATACCGGAAAACGAGAGAGAGAGAGAGAGAGAGAGAGAGAGAGAAAGAGCGAGAGAGAGAGAGAGAGAGAGAGAGAGAGAGAGAGAGGGAAAGAGAGATAGATTCTAAATTTATATTTTCAGTGGAGCGAAGAAACCTACTCCGGCGTCTCTAACTCAAACGAGCGCGCCTACGTCTCCTGCAACCTCGATGAGCAGTTTGTCGATAATTGGCTTTTCACTCCGCTGAGGGATTCCGGAAGGGCAAATCGGTAAGAATACGTCCGAAAATCGCTAGATTATTTTCTAGAGTCCACATCTATACCAATTACTCCCTTCGTGATTGCGGGAAAGCCGGAAAATACTGCAAGGAGACGTTTGGGCTCTACTATAAAACCGTTCCGAAAGGAGTGGATGATGTTCTCCAGGGCTTCAACCCCAATCAGAGTGATTGGTGAGTTTTGAAGTCGGCGAGAGAGAGCGAGAGAGAGAGAAAGAGAGAGAGAGAGCGAGAGCGAGAGAGAGAGAAAGGATTGAATATTTGATCGTTAAGGACCCTTCTGAGCCGTCTAACCGGAGGAGAAAGAACCCGTGAAAACGGTCTGATGAAAAACGAAGAAGTCCACACCGTGGTCGTCAACGGCTCGAATGTTCGATTCGCTTTTCGCGATACTGGCAGCTGCGTTTCCATCCTGGCCGTGAAGGTTGGTAATTGTCATTTTTTAGATTTTTCCGCTTTTTCGATTTTTTTTTGATGCTTCTCTTTTTTGTTCTCAAACCTCTCTAAAAGCTCTTCCGTTCCCTTTGATATGCAAATTTCCGACTGACTCGTTAGGCCTAAAATTTCATTACTCCCTGAGCTCCTTAAGCCACTCCAAAATTCCGGCACCATCCTATCAACACGCGCATTAAATTGGCAGTTCCTGACTCCTCAGGGGCCCCTCTTAACTTATTGACACCCCAGGGGAGAGAGAGAGAGAGAGAGAGAGAGAGAGAGAGAGATACCCTAGGGGAAGGGTGTTGGCGTGCAAATATTCATTAGTGGCCCCCAACACCAAATACTCTCGGGGCACATCCGATTTCTTGCGAGTATTTGGCCCCTGACCTGCTAAACAGTGCCCTTCACACCATAGTGGCGTGAAAGACAACCTGGCAAACAAATAGGGGGCCCATTCGCGTGTGGGTCCGGGGCCCTGGGGCACAACACCTTGAGGGGCAGACCGTGTTGGCGAGGAAGGCGTAAATAGTAGAAAGTTTCGGAATAATTCTGTTTTGATTTTTCACAATTTTGCGGCCTGGGGTGACTTCATGAACTTGAAATACAAAAAATTCCTCGGGGCTGAAAGCTAGGCGGGTTTCGCTATTGTTTAAATTGGGGTGTAATTACTATTGATGCGCGTTTTAAACCTTTTCTGATGCCAAAAAATTTTATCTAAAAATTCGGACGGCAGTCGCACCGCCAGCCTGTGGCGAGCTCTCCCTTCATAACCCTCTCCCAGCGCCTCCGCCCCATGGTCTTGTGGTGTAGTGGTTATCACGTCTGCTTCACACGCAGAAGGTCGCCGGTTCGATCCCGGCCAAGACCTTTGTTTTTGCTTTTTGAAGGGTAGATCGAAAATGCTGTTTTTCAAGGCTTAGCCTTATCTACAAGTGTAGAAGTGATGTTTTTGCGGGTTTTTAAGCGCTGGAAGCGAGGGCTAGAACCTAGCAATACCGAGGGCCCGATGTTCACTTACGCGCCTTCTTCGCGCACTAATGACAATTTGCGCGTGGCTTTGAGCGCGTCGGTGTCGGGGTCGGCACGATTCATAAGCCTAATCGAATCGCGGGCCACCGTTTCTATGGCCCGGCCATGCTAATCAAGTTATTGGGGGCTAGGCAGATGCTTGGGGGGCCCATTCCCAGCCTCACCCCAGAATACTCGGGATCTGATCGGCTAATAGAGGTTAGTGGGGGGAGTGGGAGGGGGAGGCTCAGGTGTGCCTAGGAATACCTCGAGGTCAACCCCAATCCATGTGGCTCATGCTAATCCCATTTTACAGCCAGCCCAGGGCAGCTAGGCGTGCAGATGGATGGGAGGGGGGTTGCCATTGTTTCCGCTCTAGGGGTGGAGGGAAGGAAGGAATTTCGGCCATAATCCCGACAGGAACATATCGACGGGGAAAAATACCGACAGCGGAAACCCCGACAACCAAAATCGCAAAAGGCCAAAATCCTGGCAGGGGAAAAAGCCCGACAACCAAGTCCCGAAAACCAAAATCCCGACAAACAAAACGCCGACAGAACAATGCCGACCCATTCTTGGCGCTAATTTGAATAGCATTTTATTGAAACAGCAATTTTACCTGTTGTAGAGAGCGAGAGAGAGAGAGAGAGAAAGCGAGAGAGAAAGCCGGAGCTAAAATTTGCATTTTTCACTTGCTAAATCCAGTTTTTTTGACTAGAGAACCCAGAGAAGAAGAGGATCAGAGAAACAAAGAGTACCTCCAGCAAAAATCCTCCCACACCCTCCCGATTATTCCGTTTACCCGTCGCATTTTGCGGGCGAATTCAGGGCCCCCCCTCGCAGTGTGGGATTAGGCTTCCGCATTGGCGGCGCGCGCGAGCGACCTTCCCCCCTGCGATTTTTTGGTGCCTCCCGGCCTTGATGAGGAGAGAGAGAGAGAGAGAGAGACAGAGAGCGAGAGAGAGAGAGGGAGATAGAGAGAGACAGAGAGAGAACGAGACTTTCTTTGTTGACAGCTAGAATCTCTGAGGGACGACCAGCAATCGCACCCCTCGGGAGCAAAGTGCCAACCGATTAGGGGAATCGATGGGGCTGATCGGAAATTGAGGACGGTTTGAAAGGGCTGGTGAAGGCAGGGATAATAGATTTTTGCGATTTTCCAACCCGAAAATATTCAAATCAACTAAAAACCGCGCTCCGAACTCCACTAAAAACCAATTTTGCTGATTTTTAGCGCTTTCCAGGATTTTTGGCAATTTTCCAAGCTGTTTGTAAACGTTAAAGGGCCATTGAAGGCTAATATCAGCAGTTTTTCTAATATCCGGCACTTTTCGAGGCGATGCACGTTTTAAAGGGCCATTGAAAGCAAAATCCTGCGCCTAGGACCATTTTTTCTCCGCTGAAATCATTAATTTTCAATTTTTAAGGGTTCCTAGTCATTTGAGGATTTTTAAGGGCTCCTGAAGCGAAATGGTCTTGATATAGGGTGTATCTTACTTCATTAACCCTCTCAATTCCAGATCTACTACGAGCTGTGTGCCGAAGAAACCCTCGGCTTCACGACGTTCCCGGAGACGTCCACCTCAGCCAAGGTCTTCGACACGGTCGACGTGAAAGGACGGTGAGTGCAGTATTTTTAACTTTGGATTTTAATGTTTAAACCTTTATTAAATCATAATGTATTTGATATTTTCATATTTTTACAATTTTGGCCGCGATTCGAACATTTTGCACACGTTTAGACTGCGAACTTGATCCGTCTTGAAAAATAAATTCGAGGTTAAAAAATTTCTGCGGCATTGCTGAACGTTCTATTTCAATTTCAATAATGTTTAAATCTTTCAATAAGCTAATTTTTATGAATTCAGATGCGTCGATCACGCCGAACCCGTCCGTGAGGGTGTCCCACCTATGGGAATGTGCCGAGCTGATGGCCAATGGAAAACTCCGGTCGATGGAGGGTGCCAATGCAAAGCCGGCTACTTTCCGGAGTCCAGGAATCGGTGTCAAGGTGGGTTTTTGGGGGCTTAAAAGGCAAGAAAAGGTGATATATTTTTGTACGGAATACGGCGTTCGGTCACCACTCTGAGTTACAGTTTTTACCCCCCTCCTAATAGTCTCTAATGTCCTGAGGAGCGCCCCGGAAATGCGACGCTCTGTTGACCCGGTGAATGTCGTCTGTGTTCCTTTTTCCACTAGGAGTAGGTAATTCTGTCTGTTTCTCTCGCTGTCTGTCTATCTTGGTCTCTCTCTCTCGCTCTCTCGGTCTCTCGCCACATTTGTATGTCGACCTGACAGTGACCTAGGTAAATTGACACCTCTTACAGGTCGGCCGCCCCGGGGGATCGGCCAGCCGGGGGTATAATAAAAGAGTTTTTGCGTAGATTCTTAGTAGAGAGAGAGAGAGAGAGCGAGAGAGAGAGAGAAAGAGAGAGAGGGGGAGAGAGAGACCAGCAGTCAAACCCATTTGCCCGATTTTGACAGCGGAACACCCGCCTAATTGGTGAATGGATGTCCCTCACCCGCTGTGTGCCTGTGAGTGTGGATAGTTCGGGGTCGTAGTTGCCCGCCCGCGACTACGCGTTAATCCATTAGCCAACTAGGGCAAAGGGAAACAAAAACAGATACTGGACTATGGTAGAGAATTTTTTGGGTTATTCTAAGCAAGCCCAAGCCTAGCTGCTTAAGCGAAGCCCCAGCCTATAGCGAGTGAAAGACAGAGAAGACCAGTGAATGAGAGAGAGACAGCGCGTGAGAGAGAAAGAGAGAGGAGAGAGTGAGAGTGAGAGAGAGGGGGAAATTTAGGCTGATCGTGCTCCTTTTCAAGCTTGAGCCTCAAAAGTTCCAAGTCTCACCAAAGCCTCAGCCTACGCCTAAGCCTAAGCCCAACAACATTAAGACAAAGCCTAAGCCTAAGCCTAAGTTTAAACCTAAGCCCAAGCTGTTGACTTCCAAATCCCTTTAAAACGGTATAATACCGTAACTGGCATACTAGAACTGCCCGTAATTATGTTCCCATCAGCTCGCCTATCCGCTACACACGTCAATCCATTAGGCCTCCTTCACCCGAGGGCACGAAACAAAAACCTATTGTGTGAGAGAGAGCGAGAAAGAGAGAGCGAGAGAGAGAGAGTGAGAGGGCGAGAGAGAGAGAGAGCCAGAGAGAGCGACAATGCCTTGAGTGCCGGGGCGAGGCCGCGGAAAGCACCCGCGCGGAGATAATCGTAAAATTAGGGCTACGCGCGCGCCTGTGTGCGACATGTAGGGGGAACACTCGCTCCCTCTGAATAACAGTACAAGGGGCAGATTTTAGGGATTAGGGGGTTGTTGGGGGAGAGGATTTGGGAAGGGGACAACGGGATCAGAATTGGGCAGTTGGGGGTTTTGGGAAATTAACGGGATTGGGAAGGAAAGTCAGGAACCTTGGTTACTGTGGCAAGCCGATTTTTGCTGTTTAAAGGTTTTGTGAAGTCACAAAGCTACTCTTAAGCCAATTTTTCTGCTTCTACAGGATATCTAAAGAAAAATCTGTAAATTCAATACCTTAAGTCAGCTTCAACAATTGATTTTTTCCGATTTAAAGTCCTGAAGAAGTAAAAAAATTAGAGTTTCAGATTTTCATTTTAAAGGGACTCCGATGGAAAATATTGACGCTCTGAACTTACTTGAAATTGGCTCTAGTATTTTTAAAGGGATCTGGAAATCAAAAATATATTGCCATTCGATTCCCTAGCATTTAAAGGAAGCCGTAAGGCAAAAACGACAGCAAAATGCCCGCCTAAATTTCATCGTGGAGGTCTAGTGCTTTTTGCCTTTTCTACAGTATCCTCATTACGATGCGACGCACCATACCCCCTATTAGCTGCCAGCCTCTCCCACTGTCCGCGCGGCACATTTTGAATAGGTCAAAGATGCGCCCTTCTCAAGAAAAACAATGCCTGGAGGGCATCTTACCCGGGCCACCATCCCTTAAATATAGAGCGCCATCACTCTCTCTCTCTCTCTCTCTCTCTCTCTCTCGCTTTAGCTCTAAAACGCCTCCCGTATTCCCACCCTAATTAGCATACCATACCTTTTTAAGGTACCGCCCCAGGGGTCCCGGGGCGAAAATATGGCCCAGTTACCTCATTATATTGTTGAATCGGTTGAATGAACTCGGGGCGGTGATGCCGGAAGCATTCTTTGATCTCCATCTCTCGGCTCTCTCTCTCTCTCTCTCTCTCTCCTCTCTCCCACCTAATTTGACCCAATTTCTCTTGGGCGGCCCTCGTAATTTTGAGCATATTTTGGCACCCAGGCCGGCCAGGTGCACTTTATTGCCTAGAGGCCACAAGAGCATGCCTTTCCAATGTGTGTGGTGTGGGTAATGGGATACCGTAACCTGGAGGCAGGTGTCAGAATTGGGTGATTTTTTGGCGCCTGGAAATTGGGGGGCTTTCGGGTGATTGGTTGCAGCTTAATGGGCTTGGGTTGGTTTAGGTTTGTATTGTGGCTTAAGGGGGCTGGAAAGCGTAAAAATCGATTCTTCGAACGATTAGGTCTAGACAGCTACGTGAAAAAATGAATAACTGGTAACTATAGTAAGGACATGTATCAAAAGATCGATACCGTGTCCAAAAAATTTGGAAGAACTCTGGGAAAGCCAAAAACTAACGTGATTTTAGACGATATTCCCAGAAAATTGGGATTTTAAAGGGCTGGTGAAGTCAGATCTATGCGAGACAGGTACCGTAGCCGAAAAACGCCAAAAATTCGGAAAGAAACCTGATCGAATAACGTGATTTTAGGCAAAAACCCCGAAAATTAACATTTTAAAGGACTGGTGAAGTAAATTTTTACAACAACCAATTGGCTTCCTTTAAAGGGCTTCTGAAGGCAAACTTGCCGATTTTCAGTTTTTTTATGATTTGCAAGGTTTGCATTTTATGAAAAGCTAAATTCTCGCGATGATAAAAAACCCGAAATCAGCCTAATTTGCATAGTTTGGAAAAAAGCAAGATAAAAAAGCCACAAAATTTGCATAGCCACTCTCTAGCACTTGTTCATGCCCTCTTTGACCTCATCAAAGCCAACCGCCAGTGTTTTTCCGTTTCACAGCTTTTTCCGCATTCCCCCAAGGCCCCCCAAGCTGCACAAATTCGGGCGCGTTTTTCACGTTTTATTCGTTACACGTGACCTCCCGTTTAGGAGAGGGTGAGAATGAGTCAATGAGGGAAATGGGGATGGAGCATGAAAGGGACGAGTCTCCTTCACTGTAATCTCGTTTGGGATCAGATCGCGGCCGCCGGCTTTTTGTCTTTACAAACCAATATCTGGGGATCGGATCTATTGGGGGGCATTCCAGTCAGCTAAGGAAATCTTGCGAAGTCTTCCTTCGAAAGCTTCCAATTTTCGAGGGAACAGCTGGAAAATTAGGTCCTCAGAGACACTTATAAGGGCTCGGAAATCCAAAAAAACGACGCACCGCATCGACTAGATCTAGACAAATAAGCCACTGGCTAAAATAAGTTTTACTTTTCGGTAATCCAAAAAAAATTTCGGGTTATAACGAGCAGAAAGAGCGCAAAGAATCGACCCTTGAATTGCCTAGGTCTAGACAGCTCCGCTACACGCCAAAATATGAAAGGCTTCGGACCACGTATCGTTCTTCAAATGTCGACCGACGCCTGAATATGCAATTTTGGCGTATCGCGTAGTTGTCTAGACCTAGTCGATGCAAGGGGTCGATTCCCGCACTTGTTAATCCCTTTAAAATATTTTCTAGCTAAGGTCAACCAAAAAAGTGAGAGATCCGTCGAGATCCAATCTCAAACCTTGTTTTCCCCTAAAAACCGTCTAACGACCTCGAAAGCTGCCCTCAAAGGTATTCCCGATTGCTTATCGGCGTACTGTATCTTGATAGAAAAGGTTAGTTTTTGGAAGGAGAGAGAGCGAGAGAGAAATAGAGAGAGAGAGAGCGAGAGAGAGGGAGGGAGAGGGCGAGAGCGAGAAATAATCAAAGTTTTAGTGGTCCATTACCCACTTCCGCTCAATTGATGGTAACCTAAAGTTTCTCTCTCTCTCTCTCTCTAACTCTCTCATCGATGATTTGTATCGCTTGCGCAACGTATCGTCCCTCGTCGTAGCCGTTTTCGGGAGAGGTTAAAGGGGCCATGAATCGTCTCCGCCCCGGGGGGCGATCACCCGTATCACCATCACCACCCAATAGCACGCCCGCGCAATCAACGAGGGAACGGATCAAAGAAGCCGCGTGTAGTCGTCTCTCTCTCTCTCTCTCTCTCTCTCTCTCTCCCTCCTAGATCACCGTCGCTTCTTTACGACTCGTTTATCGAGACGTGGGGTTTTTGGAAAAGTTTCAGAGGAGAGAAAGAATTTCGATTGTGGCGAGCTAGCAGAGACCATTTGGGAATGGAAAGGGCAGGCTAGCAGAGATCATTTGGGAATGGAAGGGGCGGGCTAGCCGAGATTCTTGAGGAAACCAGGATGAGCTCTTTCGGCCCGAAAGGAAACGACGAAACGACTTCGATTTTTCGCTGATCATTTAAAAAGTAATCCAAGCTCGAAATAACTCCCAAATGATCTCTGCTAGCCTGCCCCTTCCATTCCCAAATGATCTCTGCTAGCCTGCCCCTTCCATTCCCAAATGATCTCTGCTAGCCTGCCCCTTCCATTCCCAAATGATCTCTGATAGTCTGCCCCTTCCATTCCCAAATGATCTCTGCTAGCCTGCCCCTTCCATTCCCAAATGATCTCTGCTAGTCTGCCCCTTCCATTCCCAAATGATCTCTGCTAGCCTGCCCCTTCCATTCCCAAATGATCTCTGCTAGCCTGCCCCTTCCATTCCCAAATGATCTCTGCTAGTCTGCCCCTTCCATTCCCAAATGATCTCTGCTAGCCTGCCCCTTCCATTCCCAAATGATCTCTGCTAGCCTGCCCCTTCCATTCCCAAATGATCTCTGCTGGCCTGCCCCTTCCATTCCCAAATGATCTCTGCTAGTCTGCCCCTTCCATTCCCAAATGATCTCTGCTAGCCTGCCCCTTCCATTCCCAAATGATCTCTGCTAGCCTGCCCCTTCCATTCCCAAATGATCTCTGCTAGCCTGCCCCTTCCATTCCCAAATGATCTCTGATAGTCTGCCCCTTCCATTCCCAAATGATCTCTGCTAGCCTGCCCCTTCCATTCCCAAATGATCTCTGCTAGTCTGCCCCTTCCATTCCCAAATGATCTCTGCTAGCCTGCCCCTTCCATTCCCAAATGATCTCTGCTAGCCTGCCCCTTCCATTCCCAAATGATCTCTGCTAGCCTGCCCCTTCCATTCCCGGACGAGCTCTGCTAGTCTGCCCTACCCGATATCACCACCCACCCCACGGCGCACGCAATCAACAGCGTTCAAAGGAGCCGCGCGTAGCGCTGCTCGTCTGAATCTCTCGATTCCTGCCACTCTCTCCCCCTGGTTTTACGACCCGTTTATCGAGTGTAGGGCGAGGGTATCCGAAAAAGGACGTTCCAAGGGATCCCAAAAAGGGCACCCTTTAGGAAACGGGAGGTGATTTATCGCCCAATTGCCCCAGGAATGGCCTCCCTTCGGTCCTTTATTTGGATGAACGGCGGGCGACTCGATGAGAGGAGGGGGCTACGGTACACTCCACCTGACACCGGCCACGCACACCACAACGGTTCCGCGAATTTTATGGCCCGTGTCGTTGATGTGGGGGGATGAAAGAGTGGAGAATCGCCGGGATGTGGATTTTTGGGATATACGGGGGGGCTGGAGAGTGACTTTGTGGAATGCTGCAAATTTTTGTTGGGTTACTGTAGCTAGGAAAACTGAAAACTTCGAATTTATTGCTACCCTCCGGTTTATTCAAGCCAGTGATCCATCACGCCTCAAGTATCTTCACCCCAACTTTCGGGGCCCTTTAATGGCCGAATATTTGAGTGTTATGATTGGGCGGGGTTGGCCTTGAAAGTGTTAGGGCCAAAGTGGCTTTTGGGCCACACCTGTGGCCCGAGGGCTGGGACCCAGGCGCCGAGCACAAACAGTTTGGGGGGGGGGGGGAGACTAAAAGTCACCCCGCCGCGGGTATTAAGGCTTTTCGGCGATACCGTCACGGTCTGGGGGTGATTGTTTATAAACTTACCTAGCCGGGAAGGAGAGCTTTGATCAGGAAATGGGATTAGAATGGAGTTAACGTGTGGCTTAAGGTCTAGTGAAGGCAAAAGCCACCACTTAGAATAATCGGAAAACCACAATTTGAGCAACAATTTTTGGCAAGCAAAGTTTTCAAGTGGCATTGAAGGCAGAATCGATCACTGGAAAAACCACGAAAAGCAAATTATGTGGCTTAAAGGGACAATGAAGACAAAAGCCATGACTTGGAGAAACCAGAAAAGCAAAATCTAGCATTTTAAAGCGATATTGAAGACAAAATCTTTTGATTTTTTGAGGGAATGGAACCGAACCTTGACGTTTTGAATGGCGCCTGAACCCAAAAAAATATGGATTGATCGAAAATTGAATACCTTAGGTAACCTCCTTGTTTTCAGCCTGCCCGGTCGCCAGCTACAAGCCTCGCGCTGGAGATGGGGAATGCCGACGTTGCCCAGACTTCACGAGCAGCGACGTTGGGTCGTCGATTTGCCGGTGTCTGCCCGGATTCTACCGTACGCCGAGTGAGAGCCCGATGACGCCTTGTTCGAGTGAGTTTAGAAAATCTTTCTCCTTCCTCGCTGTCTCTCACTCGCTCGCTATCTCTCTCTCTCTCTCTCGCTTTAATTACATAAATGTCAGCCTTTCAATCCGCTAATTTCAGAGCCCCCATCAAAGCCGTTGCGTCTCGGCGTCATCGACGTGAGTCACACGTCCGTCACCATCGACTGGGTCGAGCCGACGAGTCTCGGAGGCCGAAAGGAGCTTTGGTATCGGTAAGCTAATGAATACAATTTGATTTTAAAGGGATCGGCAAGGCAAAGTCACGTATAAAACAAGTTATTTATGCAAAAAAAAAACTTTGAAAGTATCCGGAAAAGTGTAAATCGTATCACAGTGTCCTTTTTCAGTTGGGAATGCGCAAACTGCCCACAGAACGTCCACGCCACTCCGCAGGATTCTAAGCTGACGTCACGTCATCTGAAGCTGTCCGGACTCGAGCCAAATCGACAGTATACGATCAGGATCTATGCAGAGAATGAGGTGAGCAAGAGCTTGAGTTTGAGGCAAGCCAGCGGAGATCCTTGGGTAATTTCTTCTCATTAATGCATTAACTTTCAGGTTTCCCTCTTCACCTCCCAGGAATCCTCCTTCGACATCATCAACTTCAGCACCTATGCTCCAGATGCCCACGGTGTTGTGGATCTTCGAGTCGAAATGGTTCAGGAGGTACGTCCGCTTTCTCTCTCTCTCTATCGCCAACTTTCAGGACGGCGTGATGATCTCCTGGAAGCCTCCAGCGGTCGCGGCAGGACGTGGAACGGTGTCTTACGAAGTGAAGGTCATCGAAAACGGTCGTGAACGTGGACTTCATCATGCCGCCGTCGAGTCTTACCACGCCAGCGAGCTGAGCCCGCACGGCAGATATGAATTCAAGGTGAGCAGCAGCTAGCAGAGATCATTTGGGAATGGAAGGGGCAGGCTAGCAGAGATCATTTGGGAATGAAAGGGGCAGGCTAGCAGAGATCATTTGGGAATGAAAGGGGCAGGCTAGCAGAGATCATTTGGGAATGGAAGGGGCAGGCTAGCAGAGATCATTTGGGAATGAAAGTGGCAGGCTAGCAGAGATCTTTGGGGATTTTCGAAGCCTATTCTACTACATTTTCTAGGTCCGTGCTATCATCGACGGTCGAGCCGGGGAATGGAGTGACGGGCTACAGTACGATCCGCAACGTCAGACGGCCGAGGTGGGGAATAAACTCGAAATTTCGAAAATCGAGGCGATTCAGATGTCACGTCACGGATCGGGCTTGGGAGACGTTTCGCTCTGGGTGCTGTGCGCCTTGATTTTGGTGCTGATCACGCTGATTTTGTTCATGGTAAGTAGAAAGAGTGAAGAGAGAGAAAGAGAGAGAGAGAGAGCGAGAGCGAGAGAGAGAGAGAGAGAGAGAGAGAGAGAGCGAAAGCTAGAGAAAGCGATGCCGAAGTCAAGATTCAACTTTTTGTTCCAGATCGTCGTCTGCCGTCGTCGTACCATCAACCGGAAGCAGATGAGCGACCTCGACGTCCTCGACACGTACAAGCAAGGTATCAATTTGCTCTTAATTCGCATTATTTGGCGTGTCCCCCCTAATCGAATGGCTGGCTTCCGTGCTGCTACCCTCCCCTCGTTAAAATTCCCCCGTGTTGCTTCCATTAAAGGGCCATTGAAAGCGAAAATGTGCCGTACCGAGTCTCGTAATCTAGCTCGTATTTGAAGTTACCGTAACCCGTGTCTACAGTATTTTCCGTGCTCTGGTAAGGTAATTGTCCAACAAACCTTAGAGTGATATCGTAACGTTTTGTACGATAGCAACGTATCGTAGCGTACAGTGGCTACAGTACTACCGTACGGTAGGCGCCAAATGACGTTACTGTAGCGTGGCGTAGCATAACGTAATAGCTACGGGACCATACCTACAACATCAGAATACGGTAGCTTACCAGATCGTGCCAGTTACTGTAATGTAGCCCATCGGAGCGTATTGGAGCGTACCGTATCTTAGCGTATTGGAGCGTACCGTAACACACAGGCGTGGTGTAGCGTAAAGAAGCGTACAAAGCGTACCTCTGCGCAGCACATATTTAGTTACTTCAGTACTAGCGTTACATAGCCACCGTAGCCCATGAATCATCTACAGTACCGCTACAGTATCCCCGCGTACCCCGTCCGATACCGTAACCCGTTCCCGTATCCTACCGTACCCCGGTACCGTTTTGTGCCCTTCCAGACACGATGACACCCGACTACCCGTCCGGCCAGCGTCCCGCCACGACCTTCCCACCTCCAGCCACCCTACCCCATCCATTCCACACGAGTCCCGCCAAAGGTACAGTACCCTGGACGGGTTTTTGCTTTTTTGAAGTACCGTACGAACCGTACGCCACCTACTCCACCGTAGCATACCGTACTATTGCGTACTGGCGTACGTACGTACTCTTACGTATTCTAGCCTCCAGCCCAAGCGTACTCCTGGAATTGTTGGAGCGTAGAAGCTCACCGCCGACAGGTCAAAATCTCGATTTTTGCATTTTTTGCTTATTTTTGGTACGGTATTTTGCTACGATACCGTACTGTTTACACCTAGCTGAAATGTGGTGTTTTTCGGCACAGCTTTTTGATTTTTTTACAGGTATAGCTTAATTTTAATGACATGCAAATTTGTGGATTTTTGCTTTTAGCTTTTTTGAGGATTTTGGAGGAATTTTTTTGACGATTAAAAAATCTATACAGCAGGTCGAAAATTCGAGGATTTAGAGGAGGCTTTAAAATCGACAAAAAGCAATATTTTACGATTAAAAAAGTTAAGTATATTTAATTTATAAAACTTTTAATTTTTGCTAGAATAGGCAAAAAAACTTAATTAAGAACGTTAATAAAAGCTAATTTAATTTTATAGTTTATAAAATTTTTGGGCTTTTTTATATAGTTTCTACAGTATCTAGGAGTACGCTTGGGCCTCAATAAAATCACAAAATAAAACTAAAAAAGCCAAAAAATAGTTTTTCCGTTCCGCTCCGCATCGACGCGCTTTTTCTGTGCCAGTGTTTTTACTCGGCTTGCACTTTCGCTTCTGTCCAGTGTTTTTTTGGCATTTTTGGCTGGAGTTATACGGCATACTGTAGCTTATTACTGTATTCCGTATACTGCCTTTTTTTGTCATTCCTTTGCTTTGCTTCGAGTCTTTTTTCTTCACTAATCAATTTTCCAAGCTTCGCTTATATCTAAAACACACTTTTAGCGCTTTTGGGGGATTTTTTGAGGCTTCAATGGTCCTTTAAAACGTCGAAATTTAGTGAACGCGCCGCTGATCCCGACGTACGGCTCAAACTCGCCGCGTGCCCATCACTACGGCGCTAATTTCAAGCCCTACGTGGATCCGACGACTTATGAGGACCCGAATCAGGTAAAAAAAATGCAAAAGCAGGAAGAAATTACTGTAGGGTTTTTAAAGGGGCTTGGAAGGCAGAATCGAGCCCATTTAGATCTTTGGCAACCAGCCAACAAGAGTTTGACGCGCTCAGAGACCTCCAACATGTAAAGAAATTGCTCAAAACTTTTTAAATGGCTTGAAAAGCAAAAATGTCGATTTTGGCACTTTCTAAACTCATTAAAGGGTCAAATAAGCATGAAAATCGATCCCCATCGACTCGGTCTAGACAGCTATGCGAGAAGCTAAATAGCGGTTGCCATCTGAGTTTTTTTAGAGATTTTTTAGCTATTGATTATAGCTATATATAGCCAGCTAGATTTTGTATATTGCCTAGCTGTCTAGAGCTAGTCGATGGAAAGGGTCGATTTGTGAACTTTCTAGTCCCTTTAAAGTATCGAAATCATCGAAATTTACCAGTTTATTCCATTGTTTAGGCTCTTGTCGACTTCACTTACGACATCGATCCTCAGGCCGTGTATATCACTTCTGTGATTGGAGGCGGAGAATTTGGAGATGTTTGTATGGGACATTTGGATCGAGCTCTGGCGAATGTTGGTCCTGGCGAGAAGCAGGTAGGTGGATAGAGAGAGAGACAGAGCAAGAGAGAAAGAGAGAGAGCGAGTGAAAGAGAGAGCGAGGAGCGAGGGCAAGCCAATTTCCCAATTCCAGATCGAAACCGTGGCCATCAAGACGTGCAAGCCGGGCAGCCCACCGAAGGCCAAAGCCGATTTCCTCTTGGAAGCCTCGATTATGGGCCAATTCGACCATTTGAACGTCATCCAGTTGATCGGCGTCGTCACCAAGTAAGTCTCTCTTCCACTCTCTCTCTCTCTCTCTCTCTCTCTCTCTCTCTCACTCTCTATCTCTCTCTTTCTCTCTCACTCTCTTTCGCACTCCCTCGCTCTCTCTAACCCTATTTTCCAGGACTGAACCAGTGATGATCGTCACCGAATACATGCAAAACGGATCCTTGGATAATTTCCTGCGAAGCCGTGACCGACTTGGTGAACCGCTTACCGTACCCCGGTTGATGGACATGTTGAGAGGAGTGGCGAGTGGCATGAAGTACCTCACCGACAAGGGATATGTGCATCGGGTAAGCTAGCAGAGATCATTTGCGAAGGGAAGGGGCGGGCTAGCAACCAATTTTGCGGTTTTTTTTAGGGATTATCGGCTAATTTCCGTCTTTCCAGGACCTCGCCGCCCGAAACGTCCTCGTCAGCCAGTCGCTAACCTGTAAAATCGCCGATTTCGGACTGTCGAGAGGAGTCGACAACACGGCCGAGCAGGAGTACACCACCAACGGCGGGAAGATCCCGGTCCGGTGGACGGCACCGGAGGCTATTACGCACAGGTAGGAGTTGACCAAGCCTAAGCCTAAAGTAAGCCTAAGCGAAGCCGAAACGTAAGCCTAACCTAAGCCTGAGCCCAAGCCTAAGCTAAGCCAAACCTCGACTAACTTCGATTTTCCAGAAAATTCACGGCCGCCTCCGACGTCTGGTCGTTCGGCGTGGTGATGTGGGAGGTGATGTCGATGGGCGAGAGACCGTACTGGGAGTGGACAAATCAGAAGGTGAGAGAGAGAGAAGGATAGAGGGTGAGAGAGAGAGAGAAGGATAGAGAGCGAGAGAGAGAGAGGAGGGAGAGGGAGAGAAAACTAGACTCACTCGAACTTTCTAGGTTATCTCCGAAGTGATGCGCGGCTACCGCCTCCCAGCCCCGATGGACTGCCCACTGGCCGTCCACAAACTGATGCTGTGGTGCTGGAAGATGGAGAGACACGAGCGCCCGACATTTGGACAACTTCTACAAGTACTCGAGCGGTATTCGAGGGACCCGGCGTTGATCCATATCGACGAGCCGCCCAGGAATGGACACTCCATTATCGAGTAGGTTTTTCGGGACAACCTGGTAGAGATCATTTGGGATACGGCCGAATTTTCTATTCTGATTTTGCAGCCTGACAACGCCCTACCAAGGTCTGGACAACTCCACACGCCTGACGCCGACCTACACGTCTTCCTCTGCCTCGTACGAGATGGAGGACTTCTTGAGGTCGATCGGGCTCTCGCATTGCATCGAGAATCTCTACAAGCGGAATGTGTACTCGTTGGGAGAGTTGGCGACGAGGGATCACTACGATTGCCTAGCGTCAGGTTGGTTTTTCTTCACTTTTAGCAAGGGTAGGCTAGCAGAGATCATTTGGGAATGGAAGAGGCAGGCTAGCAGAGATCATTTGAGGATTGGGAATTTTATAATATATATTTTCCAGGCCTCACCACCGAGGAGTACGAGCGAATCCGAGACGGTCTTTGCCCTCCTGGTCGCCCCGTCCAGACGCTACCGTACCCCCGAACTGCTCCAGGACGACCGCCACATCTGGGATCAACAACCTTAGCGAGGAGTGGTGCTGCTGGAAATGACAATGGGTTCTTTGTCTGATTTTCGGGAGTTACGACGAGTTCGGCGAGTTCAACAAGTCCGAAATTTCCAAAAAGCCCACCCTACAGTCTAGTACGCCCCACTCCTATCCCCACCGTCCCGTGTAAAGTGTAGTCCTGTGTACGCCCCTCACCAACCCCGTCCGAATCGTCTGTGATATCACCAACCACCGTTATTTCATATCATCCGACCTTTGCATTTGTCATTTTACTTTTTTTCGGTTTAACTAGGTTAAATTGGGTCCCATACCTCATCGAAAAAAACGCAAATAATCCTTTTTCCCTTTGTAAAGTCTTGTAAAATTTCCCGAGTGCCCTAACTAGTTTAGCAACCGATTATGATATGTAAAATATTAAAACTATTTTTTCGAAAATTGTCCTTCCCGATACCGGTCCCGTTATGTTATCCGTTGTCCCGTCTTTTGCCGAAGCTAGGCCAAGCCAAGCCTAAGCCTAAGCCTAAGCCTAAGCCTAAGCCTAATCGTATGCCGAAGCCTAAGCCTAAGCCTAAGCCTAAGCCTAAGCCTAAGCCTAAGCCTAAGCCTAAGCCTAAGCCTAAGCCTAAGCCTAAGCCTAAGCCTAATCGTATGCCGAAGCCTAAGCCTAAGCCTAAGCCTAAGCCTAAGCCTAAGCCTAAGCCTAAGCCTAAGCCTACGCCCAAGGCTAGCCCTTTCAAACCCGCCCAATAATTTCCAGTGTGCTCATGCCATGTACGGTTCGATTTTCCCACTATTTCAACAGACTTTTTATATGCTAATTTCGTTGCTCGATTTGTACCTAGCCCCGCGAAAAATTGTAATTTTTGGATTTTTGCTCGATGTGCAATAATTTATTGTCTTACTCTATGCATTTTTGTGACCAGTTGTGGCCTTTATGTGCGTTTAATAAAATATATAATATTAGTTATTGAAATGTGCAAACTATGAAAAAGCACAGAGATGAGAGAGGGCACATGAAATAGAGAGAGAAAGAGTTAGAGAGGGAGAGAGAAAGAGAAAGAGAGAGAAAGCAAGAGAGAGGAGAGTAGAGTGTGAGACAGAGAGAGAGAGAGAGAGAGAGAGAGAGAGAGAGAGAGAGAGAGGGTGACAGCGAGTGAGAGAGTGAGAGAGAGTGCGAGAGATAGAGAAAGCGAGAGAATCAGGGAGAGAGGGTGAGAGAGAAAGAAATAGTGACAGACAGAGAGAGAGAGAGAGTGTGTTTGTGAGAGAGACAGCCGTTTTGAAGCCAACATTTTTCGCATTCCTTAAAAAATGTCAGTACATGCCCGGTTCCGGTTTTTCTGACCTTATCTGGAGGCCGGGGGGCCTCCCCTACGATCCAAAACGAACACGATAAGGGGACGTTATGCTAACTTCTTCAATGTTTGTTTCACCCAGCTGCTTGTGAAAGCTTGCTATTTTCCAATCTTCAAACCAATTAATTGAATTTTACATAAATATACATAAAAATCAGTTCTGATGCGTTAGCGGGGGGAGGTGGTCTCATTATACCTTTAACAATCAATAGCTTCAGATTTTTTATATTACTATTTTTCATATTTTTTTTGGCGAAAATGTTAGATTTTTCATACATAAAGCTCTATTTTGAAGAAAAAATGACCGAGCCGCCCTCACCGGAAACGTTTGTCACTGGCCCGGCAGATCTGGAGAAGCCATATGTAAGTAGTAGATTTTTTTGACAAGTCTAGAATTCCAGTTGACTGAGAATTTCCCCAAGAATCTCTGCTAGCCCGCCCCGTTTTAGAAAAAGCTTTGGGATGATGACGAGAGGCGCTACACACGTGAATGGGCGGCAGAAGTGAGGGATAGGGTAGGCTTTTCAGAACAAATTTTTTTGTATGAGTCTAGAAATGCCTGGTAACTTAATACCCATAAATTTAATAACGTTTTTATGAAAATAAAACTATGTTACCACTAGAAAAACTGCCTAAAAATTACTAAGAAAAGTTCAAAAAGTCGAAATTTTGATCAAAAATGGCCATTTTTTGCTATTTTCTTCTTTAGTTGTAGGGCTTTTACGTTTAGGAATAAAAAAAAGACCGTTTAAAAACACGCGTTATTTATATTCGAAAAACTGTATCCCATTTCCCCCACCCCCGATAATGCAAAAGAACCGCAAAACAGTTTGACTCCCCATTTTTTTGCAGATCCATCTCTGCGTCGCAACCGAACTTCTACTCGCCGGGACTGTCGTCGCCTGGGCCACCATCTGCAAGGAGTACGAGTTTCTGATTTGACTGATTGGATTTGATGATTTTTTTGATTTCGCTAGATTCGATTCCACGAATTTATCCGCATTGAAAATTTACCCTACAGAGCCGACACCGAGATCATGACCGTGCCCGTGGCCGTGTTGGGCGGTCTGATCTTCTACTTCCTGTCGATGCATGTCGGTTTTGCATATTGGTTCACCAAGAAGAGTACCCCCATCTTGATCCTCGACTATCTGCTGGTTGGCCCTAAGATTTTATGGATATGAATATCTAGGTGACGCTCGCTGGGCTATCCCTCGTTCCCTGCGTCATTATTGCCGCCACCGGGATGTACTCGCCCGTCCATTTTTGTGGTAATCTACACTCCTCCATTCTCAAATGATCTCTGCTAGCCTGCCCCTTCCATTCCCAAATGATCTCTGCTAGCCTGCCCCTTCCATTCCCAAATGATCTCTGCTAGCCTGCCCCTTCCATTCCCAAATGATTTCTGCTAGCCTGCCCCTTCCATTCCCAAATGATTTCTGCTAGCCTGCCCCTTCCATTCCCAAATGAGCTCTGCTAGCCTGCCCCTTCCATTCCCAAATGATTTCTGCTAGCCTGCCCCTTCCATTCCCAAATGATTTCTGCTAGCCTGCCCCTTCCATTCCCAAATGATCTCTGCTAGCCTGCCCCTTCCATTCCCAAATGATCTCTGCTAGCCTGCCCCTTCCATTCCCAAATGATCTCTGCTAGCCTGCCCCTTCCATTCCCAAATGATCTCTGCTAGCCTGCCCCTTCCATTCCCAAATGATCTCTGCTAGCCTGCCCCTTCCATTCCCAAATGATTTCTGCTAGCCTGCCCCTTCCATTCCCAAATGATCTCTGCTAGCCTGCCCCTTCCATTCCCAAATGATCTCTGCTAGCCTGCCCCTTCCATTCCCAAATGATCTCTGCTAGCCTGCCCCTTCCATTCCCAAATGATTTCTGCTAGCCTGCCCCTTCCATTCCCAAAAGATCTCTGCTAGCCTGCCCCTTCCATTCCCAAATGATCTCTGCTAGCCTGCCCCTTCCATTCCCAAATGATTTCTGCTAGCCTGCCCCTTCCATTCCCAAAAGATCTCTGCTAGCCTGCCCCTTCCATTCCCAAATGATCTCTGCTAGCCTGCCCCTTCCATTCCCAAATGATTTCTGCTAGCCTGCCCCTTCCATTCCCAAATGATCTCTGCTAGCCTGCCCCTTCCATTCCCAAATGATCTCTGCTAGCCTGCCCCTTCCATTCCCAAAAGATCTCTGCAAGCCTGCCCCTTCCATTCCCAAATGATCTCTGCTAGCCTGCCCCTTCCATTCCCAAATGATCTCTGCTAGCCTGCCCCTTCCATTCCCAAATGATTTCTGCTAGCCTGCCCCTTCCATTCCCAAAAGATCTCTGCTAGCCTGCCCCTTCCATTCCCAAAAGATCTCTGCTAGCCTGCCCCTTCCATTCCCAAATGATCTCTGCTAGCCTGCCCCTTCCATTCCCAAATGATCTCTGCTAGCCTGCCCCTTCCATTCCCAAATGATTCCTGCTAGCCTGCCCCTTCCATTCCCAAATGATTCCTGCTAGCCTGCCCCTTCCATTCCCAAATGATTCCTGCTAGCCTGCCCCTTCCATTCCCAAATGATTCCTGCTAGCCTGCCCCTTCCATTCCCAAATGATTCCTGCTAGCCTGCCCCTTCCATTCCCAAATGATCTCTGCTAGCCTGCCCCTTCCATTCCCAAATGATTCCTGCTAGCCTGCCCCTTCCATTCCCAAATGATTCCTGCTAGCCTGCCCCTTCCATTCCCAAATGATTCCTGCTAGCCTGCCCCTTCCATTCCCAAATGATTCCTGCTAGCCTGCCCCTTCCATTCCCAAATGATCTCTGCTAGCCTGCCCCTTCCATTCCCAAATGATCTCTGCTAGCCTGCCCCTTCCATTCCCAAATGATTTCTGCTAGCCTGCCCCTTCCATTCCCAAATGATTCCTGCTAGCCTGCCCCTTCCATTCCCAAATGATTCCTGCTAGCCTGCCCCTTCCATTCCCAAATGATTCCTGCTAGCCTGCCCCTTCCATTCCCAAATGATCTCTGCTAGCCTGCCGCTTCCATTCCCAAATGATCTCTGCTAGCCTGCCCCTTCCATTCCCAAATGATTTCTGCTAGCCTGCCCCTTCCATTCCCAAATGATTCCTGCTAGCCTGCCCCTTCCATTCCCAAATGATCTCTGCTAGCCTGCCCCTTCCATTCCCAAATGATCTCTGCTAGCCTGCCCCTTCCATTCCCAAATGATCTCTTCTAGCCTGCCCCTTCCATTCCCAAATGATCTCTGCTAGCCTGCCCCTTCCATTCCCAAATGATCTCTGCTAGCCTGCCCCTTCCATTCCCAAATGATCTCTTCTAGCCTGCCCCTTCCATTCCCAAATGATTTCTGCTAGCCTGCCCCTTCCATTCCCAAAAGATCTCTGCTAGCCTGCCCCTTCCATTCCCAAATGATCTCTTCTAGCCTGCCCCTTCCATTCCCAAATGATCTCTTCTAGCCTGCCCCTTCCATTCCCAAATGATCTCTTCTAGCCTGCCCCTTCCATTCCCAAATGATCTCTTCTAGCCTGCCCCTTCCATTCCCAAATGATCTCTGCTAGCCTGCCCCTTCCATTCCCAAATGATCTCTGCTAGCCTGCCTCTTCCATTCCCAAATGATCTCTTCTAGCCTGCCCCTTCCATTCCCAAATGATCTCTGCTAGCCTGCCTCTTCCATTCCCAAATGATCTCTTCTAGCCTGCCCCTTCCATTCCCAAATGATTTCTGCTAGCCTGCCCCTTCCATTCCCAAAAGATCTCTGCTAGCCTGCCCCTTCCATTCCCAAATGATCTCTTCTAGCCTGCCCCTTCCATTCCCAAATGATCTCTTCTAGCCTGCCCCTTCCATTCCCAAATGATCTCTTCTAGCCTGCCCCTTCCATTCCCAAATGATCTCTTCTAGCCTGCCCCTTCCATTCCCAAATGATCTCTTCTAGCCTGCCCCTTCCATTCCCAAATGATCTCTTCTAGCCTGCCCCTTCCATTCCCAAATGATCTCTTCTAGCCTGCCCCTTCCATTCCCAAATGATCTCTTCTAGCCTGCCCCTTCCATTCCCAAATGATCTCTTCTAGCCTGCCCCTTCCATTCCCAAATGATCTCTGCTAGCCTGCCTCTTCCATTCCCAAATGATCTCTTCTAGCCTGCCCCTTCCATTCCCAAATGATTTCTGCTAGCCTGCCCCTTCCATTCCCAAAAGATCTCTGCTAGCCTGCCCCTTCCATTCCCAAATGATCTCTGCTAGCCTGCCCCTTCCATTCCCAAATGATCTCTTCTAGCCTGCCCCTTCCATTCCCAAATGATCTCTGCTAGCCTGCCCCTTCCATTCCCAAATGATTTCTGCTAGCCTGCCCCTTCCATTCCCAAAAGATCTCTGCTAGCCTGCCCCTTCCATTCCCAAATGATCTCTTCTAGCCTGCCCCTTCCATTCCCAAATGATCTCTTCTAGCCTGCCCCTTCCATTCCCAAATGATCTCTGCTAGCCTGCCCCTTCCATTCCCAAATGATCTCTGCTAGCCTGCCCCTTCCATTCCCAAAAGATCTCTGCTAGCCTGCCCCTTCCATTCCCAAATGATCTCTTCTAGCCTGCCCCTTCCATTCCCAAATGATCTCTGCTAGCCTGCCCCTTCCATTCCCAAATGATCTCTTCTAGCCTGCCCCTTCCATTCCCAAATGATCTCTGCTAGCCTGCCCCTTCCATTCCCAAATGATTTCTGCTAGCCTGCCCCTTCCATTCCCAAATGATCTCTGCTAGCCTGCCCCTTCCATTCCCAAATGATCTCTGCTAGCCTGCCCCTTCCATTCCCAAATGATTTCTGCTAGCCTGCCCCTTCCATTCCCAAAAGATCTCTGCTAGCCTGCCCCTTCCATTCCCAAATGATCTCTGCTAGCCTGCCCCTTCCATTCCCAAATGATCTCTGCTAGCCTGCCCCTTCCATTCCCAAATGATCTCTGCTAGCCTGCCCCTTCCATTCCCAAATGATTTCTGCTAGCCTGCCCCTTCCATTCCCAAATGATCTCTGCTAGCCTGCCCCTTCCATTCCCAAATGATCTCTGCTAGCCTGCCCCTTCCATTCCCAAATGATTTCTGCTAGCCTGCCCCTTCCATTCCCAAAAGATCTCTGCTAGCCTGCCCCTTCCATTCCCAAAAGATCTCTGCTAGCCTGCCCCTTCCATTCCCAAATGATCTCTGCTAGCCTGCCCCTTCCATTCCCAAATGATCTCTGCTAGCCTGCCCCTTCCATTCCCAAAAGATCTCTGCTAGCCTGCCCCTTCCATTCCCAAATGATCTCTGCTAGCCTGCCCCTTCCATTCCCAAATGATCTCTGCTAGCCTGCCCCTTCCATTCCCAAATGATTTCTGCTAGCCTGCCCCTTCCATTCCCAAATGATCTCTGCTAGCCTGCCCCTTCCATTCCCAAAAGATCTCTGCTAGCCTGCCCCTTCCATTCCCAAAAGATCTCTGCTAGCCTGCCCCTTCCATTCCCAAATGATCTCTGCTAGCCTGCCCCTTCCATTCCCAAATGATCTCTGCTAGCCTGCCTCGAATTGCCAAGTCATCTCTGCTAACTTAAATACCTGATTCCAGTATTCTTCTGCCTGATCCCCCTCCAGGCCTACGCGGCCGTGATCTGGCACAAGGTGGCTGAGCAAATGGCTGCCGGAGAAGACTACAAACAGGTGCATTTTAAAGGGGCGTTGAAGGCTTGGGTATACATCGACCTCCAAGCTTTTAAAATAAATTTTTAGGTCGGTCTCCTTTGTGGTTTACGCTTCCGCATCCACTTTGAAGTCAAGGAGCCGTAAAATTTGAACCGAAATAACGTATGCTCGTATAAATATCGCAGAAAAAATATTGGCTGCCATTGATTCAAAACGAAAACACAAACAAAAACGATCTACCACGCGCCGCACTGCAACCGGCGTGTAAGCGCGCCTAGATTCCAGCATTTCTCCACGTCTATTCTAGCACCTTTAAAGGTCTGTTGAAGGCAAAGTCGACAAAGACTTGAAGCTGCAGTTGCTAGTTGCCGTCTCCGATCCCCCATCCGCCAGATTCAATGTTCGATGGAGTGTTAGAAGGCTTTTTCTACCCTTTTCCAGGCTTCACCGGGTCGCTAGCTTTTCCAGGCCTGCAGTCGGACTCCATTCGAGTGGAATGGGCTTGGGAACCTTTTGAGGTGGAGGGAACGGGATGTCGCAGGGTGGGCTTTTTCGGAATCCTATCAGCGAACGGTCAGTCGCTGCTCGGAGATTCTAAGCCCTAGGATTTGCCGGAAGTCGGGTTCAAAGTTGTGCTTTAAATTTTCCTCGGGATTTTTTTAAGATCAGGAACTTTCAATCGAGAAAAAATTCTCACTCTCGCTCGCTCGCTCTCTCACCCTCATTTTCTCGTGCTCTCTCCCGCTCTCTCTCATTTTCGCTCTGTCTCGCTCTCTCTCTCGCTCACGCTCTGTCCTCTCGCTCTAATTCTCCCTCCCTCTCGCTATCTCTATCTCTCTCTCGTTTGCGCCCTCTCTCTCTTTGTCTATCTCTCGTTTCCGGTCTGCATAAATTTTTCTGAGAAGTTGCAACTTACTACAAATTGGGATAGCTAGAGAGCGAGAGAGCAAGAGAGAAAATGAGAGAGCCAGGCCGAGACAGAGTGAGAGCGAGAGAGAACGAGAGAGAGAGAGCGAGAGAGAGCCTGATTGCGTAATCTAGCAACTTTTTAATACACTTTTATGCCCTTGCTCCTATTTCAGAAATATTCCGCTGCAGGCCTGTGAACAGGGGGCGCTAATTGAATCAGCTGGGCGTGTCCCCCACCGCCCAGGGTCGCCAACCTGTTGTATAGACATCGAAAACTACCATCCAGCCATCCATCCACTCACACTCACACAGCCACACCCAAATCCGAAAAAAGAGCGAAGAAAGAGAGAGAGCGAGAGAGTGGGAGAGAGAGAGAAAGAGAGAGAGAGAGAGATTGAAATATGGGGAACACCCCCCCACTCATCCAACCCCAGCAGCCCTTCCATTCTGACGCTAGAATTAGATCTAAATCTCCTTCTAGGTGTTGTTAGTCATTATTTTGCCTTATAAGGGAAACGGTTTTCTTTACGGGTTCTCGTTTCGTTGGCTGTTTCCGCTTTATCGACTTTTTAAAGAGATTGGAAATTGCCAAAATCGACCCTTTCCAGTCATTAGGCCTAGAGAGTTACGCGGCACTACAAAACACGAAGACGGATGCGCTTTGCAATGTTTATCAGCTTTCGGAGTGCGATCAAGACCGAGATCGACGAATTTTGGAAGGGTGGCCTTTGCGTCTAGACCTAGTGGTTGGGAGGGTCGATTTTGGAACTTCACGGCCTCTTTAAATCTACTTTCGATTCAGAAGCTTCTAAGATTAAATTTGTCCCTACATTTTCCGAACTTTGAACCTGCCTTTTTTGTCAATCAAGTCAAGTTAATCTAGTCATCCCGCGTATTATGGTGTTTCTCGTAGTCCTGGTCTGAATCTAGTCTATGTTAGGGTTGATTTCCGCACTTGCCAGGTCCTTTAAGAAGCATGCCGGCTGTGTAACGTTTTGGAAAATGGGAAAATCCCGACAGCCGAACACTGGACAACCAAGGTCCCGATAGCCTGATACCGACAAGCCAAAACCCCCGACAGGCCAAAATCCTGATTTCCAGAATCCGACATGCAAATAGCTGTTTAAGAAGTTTAAAAAGTCAAATTAGCGTCTGGCCTGTCGGGACTTTTATTTGGCGGGAGTCCGACTGCCAGAATTTGCCTTTTCGGGATTTTGGCGGTCGGGATTTTGCCTGGAATTCTCACTGGTTCTCGAGCATTTTCGATGACTAATACCTTAACTGACCTTTTATAAAACTTTTCCCCTTACCTCAATTCCTTTTTCTCCTTTTCCTTGCCTCCCCCACCCAATGCCACTTGTTCGCGTCCACAAACAGAGATTCCCCGGGCGTGTGCTATCCGTGCCGAACGCCCCACGCACCAGAAACGGGCGGCATCTTGTTTGGTTTTCCGCTTTTTCCAGATTGACGAGACACGACGATTTGGGTGGCCGAGATTTCAGCAAAGGGGGGTATCGCTGATGACTTGTCTACACTTGCAACTTGTGTTCCCCTTCCTTAAGCAAACAAAATGCGAGTCTGCACCCGGCTAGTCAGAGTGATTTTCAAGCTGGCTTCAACGTGCCTTTAAAACCGAATTCCCAAATGATCTCTGCTAGCCTGCCCCTTCCATTCCCAAATGATCTCTGCTAACCTGCCCCTTCCATTCCCAAATGATCTCTGCTAGCCTGCCCCTTCCATTCCCAAATGATCTCTGCTAGCCTGCCCCTTCCATTCCCAAACGATCTCTGCTAGCCTGCCCCTTCCATTCCCAAATGATCTCTGCTAGCCTGTCCCTTCCATTCCCAAATGATCTCTGCTAGCCTGCCCCTTCCATTCCCAAATGATCTCTGCTAGCCTGCCCCTTCCATTCCCAAATGATCTCTGCTAGCCTGCCCCTTCCATTCCCAAATGATCTCTGCTAGCCTGCCCCTTCCATTCCCAAATGATCTCTGCTAGCCTGCCCCTTCCATTCCCAAATGATCTCTGCTAGCCTGCCCCTTCCATTCCCAAATGATCTCTGCTAGCCTGCCCCTTCCATTCCCAAATGATCTCTGCTAGCCTGCCCCTTCCATTCCCAAATGATCGCTGCTAGCCTGCCTGCTTCAACTAGGTTTCGTAGGTCGGTGCTCCGATTCGGGCGGCTAGGTATAGGCCGGTCCCCATAACCGGTATTCCGTAGGTCTGTGTGTCTGTCCGCCTGTTTGGTGCCCCTCCCTTTACGGGCGAGCGAGAGAGAGAGAGAGAGAGAGAGAGAGCGGGAGTGAGAGAGAGACTGGCTACAGGAACCTCGCGGAAAGTAGAAAATAGGACTCGGCCTCCCCCGCCCTCCGCCCCCTATCCCTCCGAATAGCTCTTGCTCCCCAACACAAACCTGGGGCGCCCGTCGAATCGAAATTCCGCCCCTGACTTTATGCGTCATCCAGGCTCAGGAGTTCAAAATTTTATGCAAATTTTTGAAGAATGCTTTGCGTCGGCTGCCTGGCGGATTTTGCTTGAAATCACCGAATCTCAATTTCAACACTTTTCGACGTTTTAAAGGGATGGTGACACCGATAAGCGCTTTTTGGCAGTCGATTTCGCGGTGGTTTCACAATTTTCGCAGTTTTTCAAAGTTACTTTTACTACAGTACTGTGGCCGCAAAGGCTTAAAATGCCTCAAGAATCTCTGCTAGTTAGCTTAATTTTTGTAGAAAAGTTTGTTAGAACGCTTTTTTTAGCCATTTTAAAGGCACGTAGACCCAAAATCTATGTTCCGCAAGCAAACTCTGGGATTTCGGTTTGAAATCGGTTTTTCTGAGACTTTGAAAGCTATCCGAAGCCAACTCTTTCACTATCGATACACAAAAAATCGTAGTTCTTCTCACGTTCTTTTAGACGTTTTTTAGTCGGATTTTAAAGGGCTTATGAAGTCAACATTTGACGTTTTCTGGGCCTTTTTCCATTTTTCTTTCCAGCTGTGTTTATGTCTTGAAGTTTTATATTTTAAGCTCCTAATAGTATAGTCTTTTCTAGTCGTGGTGTTTCAGAACCGGTCCTGCATCTTTTTGCTATATTTTGGCCCCAGCCACTAACAAGCCGGGTGCGGAAAATTGTTGATCGGTGCGCCGATGGGTTTTTGCCTAGCCAAATAAGGTCTGAATATCGTAGCCAGCTGGCGAACGTGCAGCTGGGCGTAATTTTTTGCGTGGCGCTACAGCATCGAAAAAAGAATTTTGAATTCCTGTGCACGCAAAATTACCTATAAAAATTTTCATAGATTGTTCGCGCTCGGATCTATACAAAATACGGCTTTGAAATTGCTGAAAGACCTAGAAAAAAGCGTCAGAAATTCGTAAAACCGAAAAACAAGCAAAAACTGCTTTTTTTTGTTTTCCCGGACTACCCCACCTCCCTAAAAGACCTTGAAACTCTTCGGATCGCGTTGTTGCCAGTCCCGTTCGCACCCCGGCGCGATGAGTGCCCAAAAAACTGGAGCAATTTCACTTCCCCGCCAATTTTACGGCCCTTTGGCGGCGCGTAGATTTATCACGCCTATGCGTACGTTTTTTTTTCGGAAAATTCGGCAAAATTTTATTGTGATTTTGACAGCTTGAAAAACGCACTACGTAGCTGTGGGTTGAACTTCTGGATTTGTCATCAAAATTTGGACAGCAGCCTCTCGATAATCTCTGCTAGCCTGCCCCTTCCATTCCCAAATTATCTCTGCTAGCCTGCCCCTTCCATTCCCAAATGATCTCTGCTAGCCTGCCCCTTCCATTCCCAAATGATCTCTGCTAGCCTGCCCCTTCCATTCCCAAATGATCTCTGCTAGCCTGCCCCTTCCATTCCCAAATGATCTCTGCTAGCCTGCCCCTTCCATTCCCAAATGATCTCTGCTAGCCTGCCCCTTCCACTCCCAAATGATCTCTGCTAGCCTGCTCCTTCCATTCCCAAATGATCTCTGCTAGCCTGCCCCTTCCATTCCCAAATGATCTCTGCTAGCCTGCCCCTTCCATTCCCAAATGATCTCTGCTAGCCTGCCCCTCCCATTCCCAAATGATCTCTGCTAGCCTGCCCCTCCCATTCCCAAATGATCTCTGCTAGCCTGCCCCTCCCATTCCCAAATGATCTCTGCTAGCCTGTCCAGATTCCTAAGGCCACTCTGGCAGTTTCCACTCTTTCTCTCTCTTTCTCTCTCTCTCCCTCTCCAA